TTAATATTAGTAATAACTAATTTTTATTTTTATTTAATAATTATTCATAATTAATAGTATTAAATAATAAATTATTATTATTTATAATTAATAGTAATAAAAAATATTTATTTATAATTAATAGTAATAATCAAAAAGGGAAAAATAGGTCATCTCCTTGTGGGTTTATGTTTTTGGTCCAATGAGAGAACTTGGACTTTGGTTTTCACATAGGGGTTGCATGTCCATGCACCGCCTCACCCTCCTCTCCTTATATATGCATATATAGTTTGAGAGGAATTATGGGGGAGGGATGGTGATTTTATTGAAAGGGAGGAAGAATCATAGAGAGTTTTTTTGTGAGATCTCAGTGAATTTCGGACGAGGTGAGTTTTTACAAAGCTTTGGTAAAATATGTGTTATTACGTTTCACGTGTTTTACTTTGATACATGAAATTATATGATGTATTGGATCTAAACTAACATGTCGAAGTATTCTGATAATTATATTAAGTATGTTGTAGTTTTCATCGCCTAACTCTATGACCGACAAGACCTGGTCATCGCTCAAAATCCTTGACCGGATTCGGTGGTATTGGTCCCGTGAGGGTCTACAAGAAGAGAAACAGTTTATAGAAGGGGGGGGGATGAATACAAACACAATATTTTTAAATTTAAAATATATATTGATAAAGAAGATCAATACTGATTTTACAAGATTGTTTGCGGAAAGATAAGTTAGTAAAAACCTATCTAAACAATTTTTAGTTACACACAAAGTCTTAGCAAGTACAAGAAAAGAAATTGTTGTAAAGAAGATCCTTTACTTAAGCTAGAAAATACTTGAAGTAAGAATTAGAGTTAGAGAGTGAGTTGCGCGCACTCTGCATGGAGAAGAAACACTTCTATTTATACCCAGTGCATTAAATGTTCATTTAATGCAATATGGTAGGGTTAGAGTGCGTGTCAAGCCTTAAGAGAAAGACTTGTCCTTTGCAACAGTGAATAGTACAAAAACATTATTCATGAGCAGATATCCTTACCTAAAGTTGGTGGACAATAGAGTCGACTAGTCGGCTCCGTATCGTACCAACTTTCATAAGGGTATGGTTTTTGTCCTTGGTGTGCATAAGGACAAGACAACAACAATCGTGCTAAGCAAGCTTCCTTTGATCGCTGAATGCTGGAATGACCTGAAGGTTTCATCATCATTCGCTGAAGCTTGAGCAGTCTTCACACATATGTAGACAGACCTGTAATCACTGAATACCGCTTTAGATCACGTACTTGTCAGTCTCTAATCTTCAGTTTCAGTCTTCGACGTTTGCTGAAGGTTCTTTGGTGTGAGTGTTGTCTTCTTGAAGTATTGTTGTCTCTGATAGAATTACAGTGCAGGTTCTTCAGCAATCACTGAGCATACTCAGTGAAGATCGTTGGAACTAAAAATACATAAACATAAATACAACGTATAAGTGAAAAGAGATTATCATCAAATCACTGAGAGAGAGGATCAACAATCTCCCCCTATTTGATGATAACAAGATAACATAAAGAAGGTTATCTTATCAAATAATAGTAAGGAAAAGTTACATATAAAGTACATGTCCCCTTTTACTATTTTGGGATCTTTTTCAGTTAGCCAGTCTCAGCTTGAAATTTTTCATAAGTTATATCTAAGAAAATTGCAAGTACGGAAACTGAAACTGAAAGCTTATTCACTGACTCATAGATTGTTAGAGAATATGAAAAGTAACATCGGAACTCATAGACTTGTGTCCCTATTACTTTTTTCAGGGATCTTTTTCAGTAAAGTACATGGAATACTCATTTTATTAATCATAGGAAATATTACAAGTATTACAGTACATGTCCAGAACTTACAGAATATAAGTACAATCACTGAAAGTAGACATAGTACATGAAGTTACAAGGAAAAGTGGATTGTTGTTACAAAGAGAAACTATTATAGAGATCTTAGATCTATGTACCCAGGTACATTTTCACCATGTTTTCTTCGACGTAGGAATTCCCTTCGTATCTTCAGATCTACGACTTTTCCAGGCATGCTATCATCTATCCAGAGCAAAAGATAAACCAAATGATCCATTGGAGATAGATGTAGCTCTAACATTCTCTGAAATCTGACTTCACCTTCATAGTCAAGGAATATAACTCCTAACTCAGGTTTAAAATGCACAGAGTTGGGTGTATAGGGACCTTTATCTGGCAAGTCAAGATTCAGCATAGAAATGTCTGTACTCTTATGACCCTTCAGGATTTCATCTAAGGAGAACCTTGTTTCATGTTCGTTCCTTAGGAATGGTCCATCATTAGGATCAGAGAGCTTGAGTTTTTTCTTCCCACCCTTCTTTAGAGTTGGCCTGTCAGGGACCTTGACATGCCTGGACATCCTTTTCATAAGCTCGTTGATGGTGTCCTCGATAAGTGTCTTGTGTCTCGACTTGGACTGCTGAATGGCTTGTCTGATCTCCATCCATTCGCTGAATCCATAATGGCCTAGGTAGGAAGGATACTCGGTAACGACATCAAGATTGTCCCTGGTGATGAGCATTGAGACCAGCGTTCCACCATCTTAAGAACGTCCGCTGATGTTGACGCTGATAATCGGGCGGGAACTGATTCTCTTTTTCAGCTTGGCTTTGCTCCAACGCTTGTCTTTTTCCACCAGTTTCAGATTCTTCTCATGCTCAGCTTCTACAATCGAAAGAAGTTTAGCTTGGGCTTGGACAGCGTTCACCGTTTTCTTAGACTTTTTCTTTGGAAGGACTTTTTCAGCTAGTGACTTGGCCATCTTCAAGCTGTCTTCAGTCTGCTTCTTTTGAAGCTCTAGCTCTTCTTCAGCCCTTAATGCCTTGAGTCTTTCAGCTTCAGATAAGAAGTCAAACTCACCACCACTAGAGGTACGAAGAGGGATTTTTACTCTAGTCTGGTCGTGTGACTCCTTTAGCTGAGACATCTGCTGGTCGGTAGGAGCACAAGAAATGGGTTGATCAGGTACCCGCTCCAGTCGACCTCAGGTTGTTGATGGAATATGAAGGTGATAAGTTGAAGTTATCACTACCTGAGAGGTAGAGTCTTCAAACAAATGTTGTTGAGGGATATTGAACAATACCTTCAAGTTTCCTTCTTCAGCGACCGCCTTGCCTTTCGACTTGGGGTCCTAGTTCCCTGATGGAGTCGATTCACCTTGCTTTGCTCCCCTTGGGGATGCTGAATCCCCGAGAGTAACACCTTTGGTGACGGTTGATGGCTTTTGGAACTTGATGGTAAAGTCATCTTCATCATCATCGTCGTCGTCGCCATCTAGATCATTTCCGGTGTCTGGAATGGTAGGTTCATCATCGTCTTCATCATCATCATCTTCATTTTCATCATCATCATCATCACCAGCAGCAGTGATGGTATTGGCATCTTCCTTAAGGATGATATCGACAACCTCAACTGAAACAGCTTTGGTGGACGGGATTACAGGAGCAGCAACTGCTTCAGCTCTAGGAGTCTCAGCTTCAGCTGCAGCTGTAGTTGATACTGGACCAACAGCCTGAGTAGGAGTAAGCATAGCATCGGATGATTTACCAGCGTTGGACCTCATCTCCCCCTCTCTGGCTAAGACTTGAGAGAATTGGCCAGAGAGTTCGTCCAAGCGCTGACGCTGGAGAACCATTATATCCTCTAGTCTTTGCAAAACATTGCCTAGAGTTGTCGTTGCCTCACGCGTCTCATGAAGCTGGG